CATAGACAGCTGGAGATAGGCACCAGCAGCCCTCGCGACCCCGCTTGGGATAAACATGATGAAAAATGGATGGATGGATGCATAAGGAACCTAATTCTGACTTGTGTTCCTGGTGTCACCCATATGGAATTGGAGCTTTCCTTTATATAATCTTAAAATCCTGGGTATGAAGCAAGAGGCTCCAAAAAAAAAAAGAAAAAAGAAATGCTGTATTAATGCTTGCAGTCATTTCATAAATACAGTAAGGCCTACTTGAGTTTGCTGATTACTTGCAAAAAGCTTCAGCATGTGATGCTAATGGTTGAATAAAATAAGTAAGAGTCTCCTTACAGGCTTTCACTTCTTTTTTTTAACAAACAAATCAAAATATTCAGCTTTCAACCTGTACCCCCAGACTAATAAGTAGTCTATCTTGTTTATTTGAAAAGAGAACAAAACTTTTTTTTTTTTTTTTACATTTTCCTATCTTTCTTTGCAATGGCGTATAAACAACCTCTTAGGGGTAGATTAGAACGTCTCTTTGCAGATGTAATGGTGCGAAAAATTCCTCTTAAACTCACCTGATACTGAAGTGTCTGATCGCACCAAAAGCCAGATTTCAACAGGATGGTGAGCCGTTTAAACACGACACCAATAGCAAAGCAGACAGTGGTACTTTTAATTACTGTTAATAACTGTGTATAGCTCATTAGACGGTTGGTTAAAAAATATGCTCATAATATGTTTCAAACCGCAATAAAGATCTTAAAGGAAGGATGTATTTGAGTTTTTTGTTTTTTTACACTACAATTTGGAATTATGAGTTTGATAAGTATCTTTCTGAAATGAGTTTTTGGAACTTGGGATGTCTGTAACATGTGGTGCTGTGCTATCACCAATTGTTCCATTCAAGGAACCATTCCAGTCACTATTTTTCTGCGTGTGATGTGTGATCATAAACTACTGAGATTTGCATAATTGTATCTTCTTGGTTGATAAATGGAACTGTCGCCTTATCCTGAACCTTTATCACGTGTTGTACTTCAAAAGGGGCCCACCCAGATAATGTTGCTTACGGGCCTATTGTTGTGTCGTTAGGCCATTGTTTCTTTGTCTTTTAAATTTTTTTTATTAGAGGTAAAGGTAAAAAAATAAAAAAGTCTGCAGATGAAGATGAACTTGCTTTAAGCCCCAGTTTTTGGCTGACAAAAATCATTATCTTAATAGTAGGTTCTATAAATGTTAAATTCGCTAATCTGTGTCAGTAGGCCCTACTGTGTGTTCGTTAACTTTTTGCCAACTTATGTTTACATATAATTTAAAGACCATTAGATCAGTTGATATAAATCTCATCCAAAGATATGTAAGAAGCAATGTGACATATGTAGAAATTAAACAAATTAGTTTAAACAAGATATTAATCCCCGGCTATATGCTTCTATGACCAGGAAAAGATGGAATAAATAAAAGTGGACAAAAATTTAGCAAGAAAACAAACAAAAAGGATTTGGGAAAATTAAATCTTAAAGCGTATTTCATTCTGTTCCAAAAAGTAAAACATTTACTCCTCATTAAAAACCAGAGTATTACTTGATAACTAATTATTTCAAAATTATGGCAGTGTGAGATAATTCATAACTTAAGATTCCTCTGCTTCTGGTGGAACAGAAATAGATGTTTTAGGTTTCCTTTTACACTTAATATAACTTTTTATTATCATGAATATGAACAAAAAACATCCTCACCTTGCTGAGGCTTTGCCACCTTTCTGTGACTGGAGTGGTGGGAGCAGACTTGAACTCTAGTTTAGGGGAGCCAGGTGTATAATACACTGTGACAGGGTCATCATAGGGTCGAATGTCGACCCTTCCCACCGGCGTATGAGGTCTAGAGCCCAGCTGTCCCTTTGAACCCAAAGAGCCTGACCCCACAATTGCTCCCTGCTGAAAATGTTCTTCATTGGAGTCCTCCTCCCTGTATAGAGTAACTCTTCTTCTGCTTGAATCAGCAGGGCTTGGTGTTCTGTTTGAAGGGCTTTGAAAATATCACAAAAAAAGAACAGAATACCAAATTTGGGGTTTCTTAGATAAACAAAAAAGTTTCAGATTTCGACACCAAACTGAATTATCAACCTCCTGTTTCTGTGATGCATACTCCGTCTCCCCCTGGGCTCTGACTGTGACCTCCCTGCCCTCCCGCTGAGGAGCTGACTGGGTTCACTCATGGTCCTGCTGACATGCTTGTGTTTTTGAACTGGACTCTCCCCCTCCGTGGGTGATTTGGAGAAATCCACAGACTCAGTACTGCCACCAATCTGTGTAAAATCTTGGTAACTGGAACAGCGCCTGCAGTAGATGGGTCAGAGTGGGTACTTAAAAAGCTTTTTATGCACATTCACCTCATCATCTAAAACCTTATGGCAATCTTGAAGATTGTCATACCTGTTCATGCCGTTTTCTGGCTCCATTGTAGCCGATTGGCTCAGGGCTCGAACCCAACCCAGCATATCTTCCTGAGTATCAGCGCTGAAGAAATATGGTCGCATTCCCTGGTGCACCACCTGGATTTACAGACATTTTACATAAAATGAGAATTTTTTAAACAGTGCATTAGGATCTTAATGTTATCTGTCATATAATCTTCAATGTATGGCTGGCTACATAATGACAAATGTGCTGCATTTTTTATTGGAACATCCTACTGATGGATATTGGCACTAGTGTTATCATTTTGAAATGTTTGTAGATTTTGGAATTTTTTAGCCTTTATCTACAATTTAGTAGTAAAAAAAATCTTGATTTATATTACAATAGTGACTCCTTCTTATCATTCCTGATAATATTTTGCATGTATCCCTGAAAAGTTTAACTAATGATGATATTCAAGTCCCTGAGAGTTGAAAGAGCTATTTTTACTCAGCCTGATCTTTTGCTCCAGATTTTTAACCAGTTTGAAGTTGAGAGCCTGGCTGGGCCACTAAATGTCAACATTACTTCCTGTTGGAAGAAATATGTTTGTATAAAAATATATATGATATAAATAATACCTTCAGGCCTTAATCTGATAGAGGTTCTAATAATGTTGGGCTTAATCATACTATCAAAAAATATTTTTAAATATCTCTGTTAAAAATCAAAAAGATAAGTGTGACCATATATGAGAAAAGAAATGTGTATAATAATTAGTGACTCATTAATATACAATTTATCAGGAATCTGAATCCAGTCATATTTTGTTGAATCTGCTTGACAAACTGAAAACCAGTCAGATAATTTAAATCATTTATAAGCAAGGTTAGTATATACTTTATCAATAGTTAAAGTAAGATTTGTTTCAGTGTTATTCTGAAATTCTAAGTACTTCAACTTGATCAATTCAAAACCATCCACTATAAACAGAAATCTTTACTACCTTGAAGGTGAACTTCCTGTTTTTGCATTCTCGTGGTGTACAGAAGAGGATTTTGTAACTGGGGAGTGGGATGCTTCCCAGTACCGTTTCTTCTCTACTGTCTAGGGACAGAAAATATATTATATAAAGAAAAACTTTAGAACTCTCTGAAAAACTGAACTCATCAGCAGGTGTTATTATTCCTACCTTTGTAGTAATACAGACAATAGTTGGAGAGGACAAACCATCTTCTCTTCCACAGCTTTAGACCAGAGCTGTCCTGTAGATACAATGCAAAAACAGATTCAACATTCAGACCGACTGAATCACTTCAGATTTTGTCATGTTATATAACCAGAACCCTTGTATTTATGTTTTTAAAAGCTGAGAATGGAAAAACTACACAGCGACGGATTTGGATGCAGCCCATTTGATAGATACTGTACTTTATTTGCTTATTTTTCTTTGCAAAATTCTCAAGCTTGGGCATATTAGATTGAGAGCACACCTTCAAGTTTTGCTACAGATTTAGAATTGGATTTAGGCCAGAACTTTGACTAGACTGCTCAGAAATATCAATATGCTTTGATCTAAACCACTTTATAACAGCTTTGGCTAAACCTTTAGCCCAGCCTATAGCCTCTTAAAAGAGTTTCTTCCAGGAATGTCCTGTATTCACTTCCATCCATTTAACCATCAAATTAGCAGCTTCTCCATCTCTGCTGAAGGAAGGCATCCCCACAACATGATGCTGCCACAAATCTGTTTGATGTTGGGATTGGTGTGTTTCTACAGTAGCATTTGGCTTGATGGCCAGCAGTTTGAGTTTGGTTACTGTAATCAGAGCATCTTCTTTAACATGTTTGCTGTGTTGCTTACACAATTTTTTGAGACATTAAAATTATTTGCAAATTTTTATTTATTTATTTATTTTTAAGGCCTAAGGGACCCAGAGTGGTGGCTATGGGGATCGAACCAGGTACTTGGAACCTTCTCAGAGTAAAAGCACACTGCTCTAACCACTAGGCCCTCACTCCCCACTTTCATCCCTCATTAAGGACAGATGACTTAATGCATGATGAAAAGTAGTTTTGTTGATATATCCTTTAACCAGAACTATGGACTTATTATTCCAGATCCTTCATAAAAATTCCTGATGCTCGTTAAACTTTCAAAATCACAATGCTGTCCCTTACCCTTTGCAATTTTCCATTACTTTTACATCCCTATAACATTTAAATTCAACAAAATACAATAAAGTCAGTGTCTTTATTTTGCAATATGCAAAAAGGTTATACATATAATCAATATAGTTACCTTGAACTGTAATTTCTGCATCAAAATAATTAAACTTACTTTTTTGTTGAGCCATCCCCTGATGACCACTGGGCAGTTAGGGTCTCTTTTAGCAGCCTGACACCTTTTCCCAAATGTCTGCACCTTTCCATCACTTTCCTATTTAAATTAGAGAGAGAGATATTTATTCATCTCTTAACTCTCTTCCATGCATGCAAAGAGCAATATAATTAGGGAAACAAACCATCATGACAGGAAAGTAAGAAATTGTAGCCACACTGGACGCTTGGCTCACTCTGTCTTGGTCGTCCATTCTGATAAAGAACAGAAAAAAAAAACATTTGGAGAAATGCATAAAATAAAATAACAGTCTTAAACAAAACATTTAAAGCCAAAATAAAGCTACTAAAAAATGAAACAGCTCATCATCAAAATATAGCATCACAAGAAGCAGTAGGAACATATAGACATATGTCCTGCGGGCTTACCACTAATATTTAATCAGTGTGCCTGCACCAGCAGTCCGTCACACCCATGAACACCCCACCAAAGACTTTCAGACACACATAGGCCACATTCCCATATTCCCGTCAACTGTTCATTCTTTCAGGCGTTCAGTGTTGTGCTCTCCCACTTCTAGCAAAAAGCTCCCACAATTCTATTCTGGGCCATAAGCAGGCCAGTGTGCATCCCTGCCATGAAACTGACAGGTGACAGCTGCGTCGCTGTGGTAACAGGGAGGGGCTGGGAGCGTGTGAAAACCAATCTGGCTGCAGGGGGGTGGCATTAAAAGGGAAGTCTAAAGTGTGCCCAAAACTAAAGGACCACACCTTGAAATGGAAAAGAGCTGAACACCAAAGATGAAGATGTGCATCTGTGAGTCGGTTAAGAAAAATATTTAAAGTCTTACATATTACAGATATATTCTTTAACAGATATGTGGTCATAAAGCTTAACTTAGCATATCTAATTATGTTAAACCAGCAGAGGTCAGCAGACATAATTAAGTCTACACCTTTTTTTTATTATTTGAAATAAGTTTGAGTTGCTCTCACAGAAAATGTTATATATATATAGATCTATATATATAGATATATATAGATCTATATATATATATATATAGATATATATATAAATAATATGTGTGTATAGATCCAAAACGGGGAGGGCTTTTCTGCAGTATTTATTTGTGCAAAAATGAAAGATTAGATATTTCTGTGTGATGAAACTATATTTATTTTGGATTATTTACATGCTTTCCAAAGGTACATTATTATTAGATTGCATATGCCAATAAAAAAGGCCTCAGGTTCCACTACCAATGTTATATAAAGTAGTTCCTTTGCATTAAATATGTTTTTAATCATGTGTATAATCAAAGCAATTCATGTAAATACACAGCAGTGTTTACAGAATCTGAATTATTTACTGTATGCTGTTTTTCCTTGTAATTAGGACATTAGAGCAACAATACTCAGGTATTTTAATTAGATCTAAATAACTTCTTGAAGCTGGTTTGTCAAATAAATGGTTAAAATCTTTCTTAATTTAGACCTTTCTGTTTATTGAACAACTTTACAGATGAACTTAAAGATAAAAGCATCACGAGAAACATCAAACAATGAACTCCTACAAGTTATCATGGGCGACCACAAGGTTCCAACAAGGTTTGAAGCATCCACAATCCACAAAACACAGTCCCCTACCAGAGAAACCATTGGGTAAATGAGCCAGGACAATCATCTCTTTGTAAGACATACAAGAAGAAGATAACTTTCACTGTAGCCATTGGGGGTGAGGGGTTGTGGGAGTTGTGAAATATTCAGAAAATCTCCTCCTTAATCAGGCAAGGTCTCTAACATGTAGAGGAGAGGACAAAATGCTAAATAGGGAAGGATGGGAGGAGAAAGGGAAGTCTGTGTATGAAACAGAGTGGGCTTTGTGATCCCCAAACACTTAAGAGAATCATGTGAAGCATCAAAGAAAGTGTGCTGAATATATTTTGTTGGAAAATAAAGCTTTTTCTCTTGACAAAACTTTGGCATTTCTCCATTATTCCCAGGCTTCAAATGTCAAAACTAAACAAAATAAATTTAACCTTTGATAGTAAAGCTGGAAAATCAGGGTTAACCCCAGTAGTGATGTGAGTGACAAAGATAAGGACACGGAAGTTGGAGCCTATTTCCTAAATAGAGAGATAACATTAAAATCATCAGAAAGAAAAATGGTTTATGTGAATAATGTCTCTGACCAGAAATGCTCAGCCACAGATAAAATGGTAAATAACCTGTACTTATATAGCACTTTTTCAAGTCAGGAAACTTGACCAAAGCACTGTACACTTCATTCAGTCATTCACCAATTCACACACACACAGACACTGATGTTGGAAACCTTCATTGTAGTGTTGCTGCTGTACACAGAGACAGCGGGCCCTCTGACCACCATCAGGATATGGGTGAAGTGTCTTGCTAAAGTACACAAGATTGATAGCAGGCTCAGTTAATCCAATGAACTGCATGGTGTAACTTAAAGCGTCTAATTTTAATGTATTATTAACTGTAAAAGATTTAAAAAGGGTTTTAAAAAATAATTTTTTTTTGGAATACTTCAAATCTGTGGTGATTATAATGACTGTTTGGCGGAGTTACATTGGAGAAAGAAAAAATATGTATCTCAATAACTGTCTTACCTGATCAGCTGTGATCGCCTGCCTCCTTCTTTAATCTCCATCACTTGGAATTCTTCCTCACAGCATCCCCTCAGGCTTGGCCGCTGTCTCCCATTACCTCTACAGTCTGCTATAAAATCTAGCTTTCTTCATCATCTGATGAATCGTCTCTGTTGCTAGATGTTTCACTTTATTTTGACTTAGTTTAAAATGCTCTACCTACGCTGGTGCGCTCCACTGTATTGAAACAGTGAACTCTTTGTGAGCGCTTTCTTTCGTCCTCCCCCTTCTCTTCTTCCTCAATCTCTCTCACTCTCTCCATGACATTGACCGCCTCTCTGTCTCTTGCCGAGTGTGGGTTTGTGACTCAGGAATTTACAAAGAAATGGTTGTTCTCTCTGTCTTAGTAAATTATTTACCAAACATCTGAACTTTACAACTATGAAAGAGGTTGACATTTACCATTTCATTTTTATAAAAGTATCTTGAAATTTCAGAAGAAATCTTCAGTCATATGTTAAGTTTAGTTTCTGTTCAATAAATTCCAAATGATCTGTTATAAATTAACTGTAGTCATGTAGTTATTGTGACTGTTGAACTCATATAACATTCCTCTAAAAGTAAAATACTTACCGTTCCAGTGGATAAACTATCATAAGGGACATACAGCACTGGGGAAAATGTATTCCTTCGGTTTTTGCTTTATTGCC